TGATGGTAAATCACCACTAGTAGTAAATAATGATCTATATATTAGAAAGTTGAGCTTCAGTCTGTAATAGAAGCAAAGAGTAGTAAATAATGATCTCTGTATCAACTATCTTTTCTACTGAAATCTGCACAGCTATATATTATGCACAAGGGAAAACAGAAATTCGATATCACTCTTACTCCTTTCATAGGCCTCCATATTATGTGAGAAGCTGCTTCACGTGATTAGAGGGAGAGAGAGAGAGAGAGAGCATACGCTGAGTGAGAAAGTCGTCGCCAGTACGGCCCTCGCTGTCGTCGTCGCCGCACCACCGCTACCTTGGTCGCCGTTCGTCGATTGTCCAGAGGGGGAAAAAGTTCGCCGTTTCGTCGTTTGGGGATTTCGAACATTTAGGGATTTCGACCCAAATGTGACCGCCAAGATGAAAGGGAAGAGCAGCAAATTTTTTTCACTTTTTGCGACGGTAAATTTTGCCCCGTCGCAAGTGATAACTTATTAGAGCTAACGACGCCGTTTTAATAAGCTTTTTTGGCGACGGACATTTTGCCGTCGCAAATGAACCACTAATTTGCGACAGCCAACTCATGCCGTCTCAACAAAAAAATTTTTTGCAACGACAACAAACGCCGTCGCTAATACTTCCGTATTTTTATCCCTATTCGTGTAGTTTTATTGCCGACGGTAAAATGCCGTTGCTAAAGATCTTATTTGCGACGGTATAAAACGCCGTCGCTAAAAATCATTTTTTGCGACGGTAATCGCGCCGTCGCAAAAACTTCCGTGTTTTTTACTTCCTTTTCTTGTAGTGACATCTTTCTTACAAATTGTATAGCACTTTTCTTTTCTTTATAATATTATTGTAGTAGATCTCATTTCAAGTTCTAAAATTTTATTGCTTAATGATCAATCAATAAAAACAAAAAAAAACACTAATAAAAATTATGAGTTTGTGTAGTATTTTCCTTTCCAAATATGTTGTTGTGTGTGACAATAGAAAATATTACATTTTCACCTTTCTCAATGCTTTGAGAAAGTTGATAATGAGACATTACAATTTCTGAAGGATTTTTAGAATTAATTGAAGTATTAATCTATGTAAGAAAAAAAATTCGGTCCTTTTCAAATGTTTGTATTATTAACAAATTGGCATAAAAGAGATTAAGGGGATTAACTATACTACTAATTCAAAAAAAATATATCAACAAAACTTGATACGAAGATTTAATTGATAATTTCGTATATCAAAATATTAGAAAAATAACTTTTACATAATAATTTTATATAACATTAAAAATTTGTAAAAAGTATCATTGCAACCAATTACTTTAGGCCTTAATTTATCTTGAGTGGATCTTAAATAAATTAATAAATTAAAATTTTTAAATGTTGTCAAAAAAAAAAGTACCTTAGAGCATCTCCAACGGTTGAACAAATTTTTTATCAAATTTGAGTAAAAAAAAGACATTTGACTCAATATGATATCAATCACTCCAACGGTATACTATAGCTTTCATCAAAACACATTAGATGTCCAGAGGGACGACCGGCCGGTCGACTGGAAAGAGCAAAATCTGTACAATTCTGTTTCAAGCTTGATGGTCATTCGGGGGGTTGACCCCGGGTTCGACCGGGTGATCGACCTCCCAATGTAAAATCTGTACAAAATTTTGCGAAAATCGGTCATCCGGTAGTAAAAATACAACGGTAATTAATAGTATTTTGGTGAATGACCCAGCGCATTCTCATTTTGGTGAAACTTTTAGTGAATTCTCAATTTAATATCCATTTGGTAAAACCGTTAGAGCCATAAAAGTGATAATTTTTCATCAAATTCAAATCTGATGGTGAATTTGGTTCACTGTTGGAAATGGTCTTACCCATTATTTATTGTACCTTCACAGTTGTCCTTTTTTTTTTGTTTTTTTTGTTTTGTTTTTGAACCGTTCACAATTGTCCTTGGAACACCTATTAATATTTACTTTTAATATTAAAAAATGTGGCGTGTGAATAAATACACCCAAATAAAGCTATAAAAAATAAGGATAAATTATAGTGACACTCTTGAAATTTTTGCTTAATACAAATTCTTCCTTCACATTTGAAATATTATACTTATCCCTTTGTCAGATTAAAATAATATATTTATCCTTTAGTCTTTATATATATATATATATATAAAATAATAAGATAATACTGATATTTTGTTCATGTCATTGCAAAAGAAATAATAATTATCTTCTTTAGTTTAACTCACAAAATTTTTATTTTTTTTTATTTTTCATGTTTTTTTTATTGGTTTTTCTTTTAATATTTTAAGCAATTATTATTATTATTTTTTATTTTTTAGATGCACCTAATCTATATATACTTAAGAAGTATAATATTTTGTGATTTTTTTTAAATTCACCAAATACAAAAAATACAAAAATTTAGAAATACTATAATAAATGTGGATGAATAGATGAGAAAGAAAAATGATGGTAGAAATAAAAATAAAAATTTATATTTATATATAAAAATTTATACAAAAAATATCATAAAAATATTGTGATGGTGATATTATTATATATATAATTATGTTTGTAAATGTTTTGTTTTAAATTGAAATGTCACCATTAAGTTATATTATTGTGTTTGAAAATTTTATATAAAATTTATGTTGTATATCATCACTCAATAAGAATATATTCATATAGGATTTAATGATAAAAAGTTATAAAATATAATCATGATGATAGGAGAAAAAAATGGTAGAAAAAAAGATAAAATAGTCATTTAAAAAATTTTATGATATGACATGAATAATTTAGAAAATAATTTGGAATAAAATTATAGATCTCAGAAGAAAAATATAATTTTTTAAATATGAATGAAAAAATTATATTAAACAAAAATCTGACAGTATAATTTATCCAAGCAATAAACACTTTAGATGGACCTCTCAAACACGAAACTCGACTAAACCCCTTCACACATTCTCTCCCTCCCTTCTTCCGGCGCATTCTTTTAGGATTACACTGTAATATTTTTCACTTCAAAGTTACAATAGAAAATCTTCACTGTATTATTTAAGAATGTATAATATATTTTTTAAATTTAAAATAGGGTAAATTACACAAATAGTCCCTATAATTTGAGACTTATATCACTTTGGCCCCTGACTTTTCAATTGTAATACATTTAATCCTGAATTTTAAATCTTGTTCCAAATAAGGACAATTGAAGATATTATTAGATTTTTTAAAGGTAAAATTGTCAATTTTATAAAATATAAACTAATTTGACAAAAATAAATGTGAAACAAATATTTTAAAATTTTTAAAAATTATTTTTACCCACTAAAAATAAAATTATGTAAAATTGATAAATCTTTTAGACATTTATTTATTTATTTTACCAAATTAATTTTTATTATGTGTTTGGATGATGATCATGTAAAATTAATTTTAAAAAATTAATCGTGTAACTTTTATTAATTTTACATAATTTTATCATTGGCAGATAAAAACAATTTTAAAAAAATTAAAAATATTTTTTTGACATTTATTTTTGTTAAATTGGTTTATATTTTAATAAAATTGACGATTTTACTCTTGAAAAATTTAATAATATTTTCAATTGCCCTTATTTGGAACAAGATTCAAAATTCAGGGTCAAACGTGTTACAATTGAAAAGCCAGGGATTAAAGTAACACAAAACCCAAACTATAGGGACTATTAGTGTAATTAACCCTTTAAAATATTGATAAGTTTTTATAATTATTTTATTATTTAATGTAATGAAATCTTTCATTACAATCATGTAATAGATAGGATCTTAATTCATTTTTTATTTTTTAAATATTTGAAAAAATTAGAAGAATGATTTAATAAATATAATAAGTTTTTTAATTTTTCCCCAAACAGGGGCCTAAGAATAAAGCGAATAAACGATGATGCCCAGGACACATCCAGAGGTAAAGCAAAGCACCCACAATCCTAAAAATGCTCTGAAAAGCATCGCAAATCCAAACCTAACTAAACTGTCAAAACACCTCTGTCTCTTCGTCTTATTGTCTGTGTGTTTGCGCAAGTCTCTGTGCAAGTATGGGACTCTGTTGCTCAAAGAAGCCAAAGACCCAAGCGTGGCTTTTGAAACTTTCGAAAAAATCTTATTCTTTGTTAATTTTGAACATTAATTAAGGTGAAGTCCAAGCGTTATTTTTAACGTTTTTAATTGGATTCATATTTAATGTCACGTAGTGAATAAAACTATATATTTAGTTGCTCAAAACCATTTTCGGATGAATGAAAATTCAGCGCACATTTTCGAATTCGTGGAAATGGCTTTAGGTAGGTTTCTTTGACATTTGTGAAATGTGATTGTCCCACATTAGAAAGGCTTATGGATTTGTGTGGGTTTATATACCTTAGTTTGGGATACTTTGGATGGGTCCCAAAAGGTACCCAAGTTTGTGAAATGATGATGTTATGAGTGAAATGGGCTAGACTCATTGGATCCAAAACAAAAATCACACGTGCGCCTGTAACAGTCCAAACAGTTGCCTATCTATTGGCACCTGTTCGGAACAGCCATCTTTCCTTCTGTATAAAGTCTGCCATTCTAACATTTTTTAGATCGAAATTTTCCAAACTTCTTCCCTTTCTTCTTATGTTCGTCCTCCTTTGCCCATTTGTCTGTTTCTGCATTTGTCTTTAGGAAAAGAAAAAGAAAGAGTTACAGCATCGTTTGGTTCACCGGACTTGATTTTATAGTGCTGTAAAATCAAGTGTTAGTCATTACATTTTGGGAAGTAGACGCTAATTAAAACTCAAAATACCAGAGTGAGGGAAAAATCTACTTTAAAGAGATTGTATCCAACACAAGCCTCGACATCAATTTATGTGAGTGTTTAATTCGAAAAATAATTTATATAATTATTTTTTAAATTATTTTATTTTATTAATTATTTAATTTATACATTTAATTTACACACACATTCCATTGTGGGGTTTAACAGTTGGGACTAACCAGGGTACTGCAGTGCTACAACGAATTTAATGATGTGCAGATCTTACGCGCGTTGCCAAAAACAGTCCCACCAAACCCACCCCCTTCTTTGCCAAAACCTCCTTCATCATTGTTATCGTCATCGTCATCGTCTTCTTCACAAATTGGACAAATTCTAGGCAAACCATACGTCGACATAACCCATCTTTACAATCTTGACAGAGAACTAGGGAGAGGTCAATCTGGGATCACTTATCTCTGTACAGAGAAAGCCACTGGGTTGAAATACGCGTGTAAGTCGATATTGAGACGACAAGTTGTGAGTCAGAAGAAGGACATTGAGGATGTAAGGATAGAGATTGAGATTCAACAGCATTTGAGTGGGCAACGCAATATAGTTGAATTCGAGGGTGCTTATGAGGCTCGGAGTAATCTGTATTTGGTAATGGAGTTGTGCTCTGGCGGCGATCTTTCCGATCGGATTACGGCCAAGGGCAGTTATTCGGAGAAAGAGGCGGCGAGGATTGGCCGACAGATTGTGAATATGGTACATGTGTGTCATTTTACGGGGGTGATGCATAGGGACTTGAGGCCTGAGAATTTCTTGCTTGTGAGCAGGGACGAGGATGCTCCATTGAAAGTCACTGGTTTCGGGCTCTCTGTTTTCATTGAGGAAGGTATTACATCGTGGGTCTTTGTGGATTTGATTTTGACTCTTTTTTTTTTAAGCTTATTGTCTTGTTATCTGATTTTAGAATTGCATTCGTTCATGAATAGGGCTCCTAAAATTTATCATATATTGATACTATACTAGCATGCATAAGTGTTGGTTTAGGATGTGATTGGTTTTTTTTTTTTTTTTTTTTTTTTTTTGACTTTTTAACTATTTTAGTTTAGGTTAAAAATAGATTTTTTGAAATTTTTTTTTTTACTCTTGTGAGAGAAAAAAATAAAATGATTATGATTTAGATGTGATATTTTATCTTATTGATTTTTTACTTATTTTGCCATTTTGTGACTAATTTAACCCAAGATTAGGATGCCAAACGAAGGCTTAGAGGTGTTTTGGGAGGTCCATTTTGGCTTATTTTTATTTTGAGTGAATTTAAAAAAAAATTAAAAAGTTTTAGATTTTTAAATTCAGCTTAACAAAAATCGAAAAATTATATTTTTTTAAAAAAATTTAGGAAAGACAAAAATAAGCAATTATTTTTAGCTTATTTTCGTCTTTTAGTGATTTTTTTTGAATTTTTTTTATAAAAAATATTCTTTTTAGAAGGTAAAAGAATTTAATATAATTAAAAAAATCGAAAAAAAAAAAGATATATATATATTTTAAAATATTCTTTTTAGAAGGTAAAAGAATTTAATATAATTAAAAAAAAAAGAAAAAAAAAAAGATATACATATATTTTTTTTTGGGTTGCCAAAATGGCCCTTAGATTTATCGCCTTGTTTACACCAAATAAAAAGGATTCACATTCTGCAAGTTTACCATTTGCGAGTACATGAAATTGACGATAATTTCCAGTCAACCTGTTGACACCATAAATTTGTAATTTTTATTATTATTTATATAATTGTAAGACATATGGCATCTTCCTACTTATTTGGAGGTTATGAGAAGTTATGAAATGTGGAAAGATGATGGAGAATAAAGTGGAAAACATGGAGAATGAAGTGGAGGTTGAAGAAAGTTATGGAAGATCATATAGTATGAAAAGGATGAGGTGGAAGAGTAAGTAGTTTTAGGTAGTTTTTTCCTACAAATGTTTGCTTATAAATAGTTATTCATGACTACATTATAAAGGGGCCAGAATTCAAATCAAAGACAATTTTTTTATATTTTTCTTATCATTTATATTTCATGCATTTTATTTTACACACTTTCTTTTCGAAGTATTTATTTTTAGCATTTCATTTTCGAAGCATTTTATGCACTTCCTTTTCAAAGCATAGGAGTGAAGATAAGTAATTGTTACTTTAATTGTTCATTCAATCATCTTTCTCCGTCTCCCTCATTCTTCTTTTAATTTTTCTTTTCTTTAATGCTTAGCAATTTTGAAGTCCTTTTCATTGAAACAAAGAACCGTCAACGCAATCGCTTGATAATTAGCTTGAATTTAATCTGTAAGAATTTTTCAATTCTTGCTCGCATGCTCGCATTTATAATATTTTTCTTCATAGAAAAAATAAGCCAACACAACCATACCAGGAGTAATGTCATTGAAGCGACAATCAACTCTACAGCATTGGAGAGCAATAGTCAATGAAACTGTTCGCAAATGCCCTGTTCATCACTGTCACTCTAAACTTCACGATACATAACCAAAACAAAAAAAATTTAAAAAATAAAAATAAAAATTCGATAGCGAATTCACATTACACATCGAAATTGGAACTTGAAATAAATTAGCAATTCACTCTTTTGAATACCTTCATACTCAGCGGGATGGGATTTGCACGTACTGTTACCCTCTTGATGACGAAGAGAATCGGAAAAAGAATAAGCATATGCAAAGGAGCGGCGTAGAGATGGTTGTCGAAGATGACTTTGGTTCAATTTAAAAACTTGGCTAAAATTCAAAAGTGACTCTTAACTCATTTTGAGTCACATTTTCTCTTTATTTTTTTAATACATTTAAAAAAAAAATCATTAATTTTTAATTAACTTTTTAAAACAAACCATTCTTCCAGTAGGAGAAGAAGCCAAAGTTGGTAGCAAAACTGATGGTCAAACTAATAATTAATTCCCCAAAATAACCTGAGAGAGTACAAAGTGACAAATTGAAACGTCATTGGGTCGTGACTCATTTTTTTTATATTTGTATTTATCATTAAAATGTAATTAGTACACACGATTTTTAGTGTGTACGTAGCATAACTTCAGAGAGAATGAACATGTGTCACACCGATGTTTATCGTCATGTTTTATGTTAAATTTATTTATTTTAATTTTGATAAAAAAAAAAAAGTTGAGGTCTTGTTTGGCTATCCCTCAAAAATAGTTTTTTAACTTCAAAAAATAATATATATCATATATATAAAAATAAAATTCACTTAATTTTCTCATTGTAGGGAGTCAGAAATTAATCCCCAAACTAAGTATGGACCTAAGCACTGAGATCTCCCCAAAAAGGCGACCAGGAATAAAAAAATGAGCATGGGCCAAAGCCCAAGAGAAGTGGGCCAACAAGTAGGCCGATGCAAGTCCGACCCACCATGGCTCTAGATGGACTCCACAAAAAAAAATGCCCAACTCAAGTTGCAGAGGCAACACCTGCAGCGGTGAAGTTGCGGAGGTAACATTTGCAGCGACAAAGTTGCTAAGGCACTTTGCCTCAGGGCCGCCATATATCTTCGGTTCCGCCGCCATCTGAAGTAGCTGAGAGAAAGAGAAAGCCGACACAACTAAGTTGCAGAGGTAACACTTGCGACGGCCAAGTTACGGAGGTCAAGTTGCGGAGGCACTTTGTCTCAGCGCCGTCATTCCAAGTAATGTCGGTGCCACGACCACCTAGAGTTGGTGAGGGAAGAGAAAACTGAAGCAACTAAGTTGCAGAGGCAGTACTTGCAGCGCCCAAGTTGCGGAGGCATTCTGTCGGCGCCGCCATCTCTAATATCTTCTGTCCTAACGTCTGAACTTGCCGCAGGAAATGACTACCGCAACAACTACGACCTTAGCAACTAAGTTGTAGAGGGAATATCCTGCCAAGGTGGTAGCAGCCTTTGAGAGAGGCCTCCTTCTGCAAGTAGAGGCTAATGCTTAGCACGGATAGCAGGCCTCAAAGTTCATATAACTCGACGCTGATAGCAGGCCCCAAGACTTACTGGTTGGAGCTGATAGCAGGCCTAGAGGCACCAGTTTACCGCGGTAATCCCGTGAAGACGGGAGCAAGGTAGCCCGAACATAAGGGACTCACTTCCCGTTACCTAGCTTATGGACCTGCCTTGGTCTCACAGGCAGGACTAAGGAAGCCCCCTTGGGTTTGGTACTAAGGCACAGCATGGTTGATAGTAGGCTTAGCTGTGGCCTTCGCCCTGGAAAGCTGGGGAGTTTGTGGTTAGGTGGCTAAGGGTGGAGACTTCGCTGAGGTGGGCACGAATATAGTTGATAGTAGACTAATGGAGTCCTGAGAATGCATGTACTGGATGAATAGAATTGAGAAGACAAGTGCAACAGTAAAGTTCACCGCTGCAAGTGCACCTGCTGAGGTTCAAGCTGAGACGGCAAGTGCTGAGGCAAACACTCCCGCCGCAACTACACTTGTTGAGGCTCAAAAAGGTAGTTGCGGAGGCAAACAGATAGTACACAGTACATGTAGAGGGACACGCGACACCTTTAGCCTAGTGGCTCAAGGTAAAATATTTCATGTGATCCTCTGGAACACATGTCTTCTCTCTATTTGGCCACTTGGTGTCCTTTTGGTGCCAAAGAAAAGCCTATAAATAGGACCCATTTCCCAAGGTTCAAGAGGAGAATTTGGGAGATTTGGAGGAGATGCTACCCAATTTGGTACTACCATTGTCTTCTTCTTAAGCCATTTTGCTTCACCCTCACCCAGCTACACACTCTCAAATTCCCAGATAATTGTTGTTACTCATTCTCCAGCCACTCCCGCCATTATTTGACCATTAGCATAGTTTTGCCTCTCTAATTACCTCTCTAACCTTAAACCCATTTATATTTCTGGCGACTCCATTAGGGAGGCCGCTTTGTTGATAGTTCATACTCGCAGTGGCTTATACACTTCACTGGAAAAGATGGCAAAGGATGAAGTTCAGCAACCCCCACGGTAGCAAGGCTCTTCCAATGGCGGAGCAGCACATGCGGAGGACCATGACCACAATGTTGTGATTGAGGCAGTTCAGTCACTCCAGGATACGCAGAGGGAGATCCTAGTAGCTTTGCAAACTCTCACTAAGTCTATTATGGCCGTGGCTTCTCAACCAGCTCTAGTACAAGCACCATCGCCTGTAGCAGTCCCAAACCCAGTGCCTAACCTGTTCCCTGAGGTTCGAGCTCTGATCCAGGTGCCCCTGGTGGTACCTCAAGTGAGCGGTACGGCCGCTGATTCAGATACCCAAGAGCAGACTGGACCATTCCAGCCCACTCACTTTGTTACTTTAGCTGATGTACAAGCTATGCTCGAGCAAGAGCGCAGCAAGAAACAACCGCCATCTCTCTCAGACCTAGATGTGAAGCCCCCATACTCTCAGGAGAGATTGACCATGCCATATCCAACTGGGTATAAAGTGCCCAAGTTTATTAAGTTTGATGGAAAACAATGCAATGCCAGAGAACATGTTATGAGATTCATTGAAACTCTTGGTGTCCATGGCAGTGACCACTCTCTGCACCTTTGAGATTTCTCCAAATTACTTACTGAAAAGGCTTACAATTGATATGTGAACTTGTCTCCCAACTCGATCAAGAGTTGGGAGGAGATGGTGAACAAGTTCCACACGAAGTTTTTCCAAGTCCAAGAGAAAGTTACAACCCTCACAATTGGGCGAGATGTCCAAAAAGAAGGCAAAGATATACTGGACTATGTTAAGTGGTTCCAAGACAAGGCTATTGACTATCATGAGCCAGTGGATGAGGCTCACTTAGTCAACATATGTGTGGAGGGTGCCATACGTGACTATAAAATTTTCTTGGTAAACCATAACTTGCCTACCTTTTCAGCCTTGATTGAGGCAGCTAGAAACCTCAGTATCACTGGTCCTTTACACATATCTCGTGACAGCCACCACTACTTTCGCAGTAGCAGAGTTGTTGTGGTAACCTCTACGGGAGGGAGCCACTCGCAAGTAGAGGCCTCATTCTCTCAAAAGAAGAAGAGTTATGAGGATAGGAATCCATATCCTTGTAGCCTTGAGAATGTTAAGGCCTTAGTTAAAGAATAGGTCGCTGATGGCGAACTTACTTTGCCTCCGGTTGATGTTACTCCAACCAAGAAGGACAAAGAAAGCCCAGATTATTGTGTCTATCACAGAACCACCAGACACCCCACTAGAGACTGTTGGATGTTGAAAAGTATTTTCAAGAAGAAAGTTGACACAAATGAGCTGAAGTTCAAAGATGCCGGTAAAAGTGATGTAAAGAAGGATCCCTATCCTAATCACAAGGAGCAAGGGAAAAATGTACACATGATTGGCTATCTTGGGACTGTACGCGATCAAGTGTACATGGCGTCTTACTATGATGAGTTAGAAGAAATCACCAGCGGCCAGCTCCCTGAAACAGTGCCTGCAGAGACAAAACTCGCAGAGGATACTCATGCTCAAGCCTTGCAAAACTCTATTAAGTTTCGCACCTTTTTTGACCAGCTAGGGCTGAACCAAGCCTCCAGGATGGAAGCAATAAAGGCCCTCATCAACATCTCTGAAGTGCGCCATACTGAAGTTGCTGAGGCTAAGGTGTCACGACCCAACCCCAGGGGCTTAGAGTTGGAATCGCAACTTACTAACTCATTTTATTCGTGGCAACACTACAAGAAAATCTGTTATATAACACGGAGGCTTTTGCGACGGGGAACCTACCGTCGCAAAAAATGAGTTTTTGCGACGCAGTGTAGTTGCCGTCGCCAAAAAGTGGTTTTGCGACGGCGTTTATGTACCGTCGACGAAAATGGCCTTTTGCGACGGGGTTTGCCTCCGTCGCTAATACATTTCACCGAAAAATGCAGGAGCATTTGCGACGCACGTATACCGTCGCAAAAAGTATTATTTAGCGACGGTAAAGAGTTGCGGTCGCAAATGGTGGACCATTTATGACGGTATAATCCCATCGCAAAATTTTTTTTTGTAAAACGACGTGGTTTTACTTTGTTAATCAAGTATCATTTGCGACGGTGGTATATATTCCGTCGCAAAAAAAAAAAAAAAAATTCACATCCCGCTCATTTCACACATTCGCGGGGATTTCTCCCATTCGCGGTCATCCTAAAATCCCCAAAATCCCAATCCCTAAACTCACCCAACCAAAACCCCCAAATCAAAATCCCTAAACTCTCCAAACCAAAACCCCCAAAATCCGAATCCCAGAATCCCCAAAATCCTGAAATGAAAATCGTTCAGTGTCGTGGTGAAGGAGGGTGAACAACGGCATTCGCAGATTGACGAAGGTGAACGACGGCCTTCGCCGGAGTGACAGGCAGCCACTGTGAATGACGAGTGACGAACGACTGTGAACGACGAGTGACGAGGCAAGAACGAGGGTGAACGACTGCGAACGACGAGTGACGAGGCAAGACTATGAACGAGTGACGAGGCAAGAACAAGGGTTAACAAATTTTTCAATTCAATTTCAACTGTACTTTCCTAATTGGGTGCAAAAATGCATGCGTGTGTTAGTAATTAAAGTATGCGATCAGATGGCGTGGTCTTGTTAGCTTAGTTGAAATTCTTATAAATTATCTATAAAATGAGATTCCAACTAGGGCATGTGTGATTGCTGGTTTTGCTTAAGAAAACATATTAGCTCTCACATATTTGGCTTTGCTTTGCCATTCCAATACTGACTCTTGGTTCATGGTGCCTTTGGTGGAAGTTAATCAATAAGCTTTACCAATTACAGGGGCCTTTGTTTCATGGGATTGGGGCATGGGATTGGACTCCATGTCTAATAGATTTACTAGTCCTTTGTTTTGTTAGAAAATAAAGTCTGACTAATAGTCAAATACATATCATTTCAAGACTATTCATCTCAGGACTAACAGTCCATTGCAGTGCAATCCCCCCTTATTCAGTCAATTCAGACAAACACCCCCTATGATTATTATGGTTTAGAGCAAAAAACTCAAGTTCTTGCTTTGGTTGCATCTGTAATTCTCGTTCCTTAATGCTTTTACTCTTTTACACAATTAGATATATACATCTCCCTCTGGTAATAAATTACTCATTCAGTTTACTTGGATTATGCAGATAAATGTATTCTTAAGCTATCTCAAGGCCTGGCTCAAAGTTCTCTTATTCACATTTTTATCTAAATTTATGATCAAACACAACATTAATGACCTTGATATTATATGCCCTTTTGTAAGTTATTTATTTATTACCAAAAGCGACATTTTTGTAAAGGAAGAGGGTGAGGTGAGGGATCAAGTTGAGGGAACTGCCCCATTCCAAACCCATCTCAGTGATATGGGGTTGTGATTGTGAGCTCATTTTGGACTTATCTCGTTAATTTAAATTGTATATTTTGTAAAATTTATCAAATAGATCACGCATAAAAAAAATAAATAAAAATTGAATACTAATAGTTACTTGGACCATTCATAATCTTTGCACTTGCATTTCCAGAAACAAACTCCTAAACTCATTTACAGTTGTTCCTCATTTTCTTGTTTTTCATTTTATGTTGAAAGTGGAATATTGTTTTGCAATAAAAACTAAAGAATTTTTTTTTTTTTTTTACCTTAGTTGCTCGAGGTTCATGGTTTATCTGGTTGTTTCTTTGTATTGTTTATTTTATTTGACTTCTTTGGTTTTATTTTTCTGCTCATAGTGCTGTTTAAAATGCAGGTAGTTTCTACTATAAGAGTCAACCCGAAATTCAGTTTGTTATTCTTCAGTAATGGTGCTCAGGTAACCTTGATGCTATTATATATTAATCTTTGTCTGGCCAGTAAAGGTGCCATGAGAATGATGCACTTCTTTAGCAGTGTTTAGGAGATTGCTAAATCCACAACCGTTATGGCTGCATCCAGATTCCACAGCCTCCTTTCTCATGTGGGGTCCACCTATGTGAGAGGGAACAATGTGGGTAAAGCCTAAAAGTTATGATTTTAGCAGTGGCATTGTTTTGTATTTTATCTGTTTGCATCTTGTCTTATCATATGACCAGATCAAAGTCTGGAGGTTAGAAGTATAAATTCATTGCCAACAATACATATAAATGAACAAATAGCACCACAGGAGGTTAGAAGTATGCAGAATCAGCTACTGTTTTCGTCTGATTCTGGTGGAAGAATGCTTTTAAAATCATATCCCAAGACAATTGCTTGTGAGGAGTCAATGGGGTTATATGCAAGTAAGGATTTTCTTATGTCGCAACAAACCTGTCATCAGAGAAAATATTTTGCTCCTCACTGGTCCGTTGAATCTGTTAATGAGGCATTAGAGGTCAGTCTGCCAATGTATTTCAATCAGTATTTGTTTTGATACTGTTTATTATTGCACCGAATTATTGATCTTTTTAGACCATGTAAATACATCATGGAGAAGAAGAAGGTTGTTATCATATTTAGTGTTTAATTCTGCAGAAAGGCAATGTCTTTAAAGCGCTGTTTCGTGTGAATGCTCACAACAGACTTGAGGTGCGTTATAATTTTTTCCCTGTATTTCTGTTGCATCTCCTTATTCTATTATGATGCAAATATTATGCACTGTTCTGTGTTGTTAGGCCTATTGCAAAATCAATGGAGTTCAAACAGATGTTCTCATCAGTGGAATTGCTGCTCAGAATAGAGCTGTAAGTCTGGGGTTGCTTTTTCTAGTGATGTTCTAAATGAAGTGCTGTTGACTTCAATTGTCTACGTACTTTTTGTACATTGTGCATTTAATGGATATAAAGTGATAGGAAGTTAACTCACTAATCTTGATTTGTTTGCTTTCTGTTCCTTCATCAGCTGTATACTGTTAATCATTGGCAGTCCCATTTTTTCTTTAATTCATTGCTGGATTTCGGTATGCTTTTATATTCAAGTACATTTATGGTTATTTGCATGCTTAAATTTTGTAGTTCCATCAACTTGTTTTGCTTACTTCTATGTGACTCGCTAACCGATTCCTTGTGTATGCCTTTTTCTTTATATCCAATTTGATGATCAGAAAGTAGTTACCATATTCAGGGAAGCAAGAATAGAATTATGTTGATTGGATGCACTTTAAACTATGTCAAGGTTGATGGAAAAATAGTTGTCCATGTACATTAATGATTTTTAAGAGGCAATTTTTTCCACCCTTTCAAGTTTCATCATTGCTAGAGCTGTAGGGATTATGAGTGTGGAGTCCCATGTTAGCCCTCTGAGTGGTTGAAGCTGCTATTAGGATTGTGAGTGTGGGAAGTGGTTCTTCTTGCATCATTTGACTATTTGGGACAATAATCCTTTTTATACTGGGTATGGTTTTGTATTGAAAAACATTTGTTGAGAAGGTCATTCTTAGGACAGATAAGGTTGACAGTCGGCCTCAAGGATTTAGGGAAGAAGCTTTTCTTTATATAGCCTTCTGCAGCTTGAAGCCATAGTTCAATTTTAAACTGTTTGGTAAAGATCATGGGGAGGACTGAGTGGGTGTTGGTAATGGAAAAAGGGTTTTTCATATCTAATAATAAATTAGGTACATTTTCATTTTCTCTTATTAATACAATGATGTGGTGGAAAATCTTCGGAAAGACCATGGTACTCTTGTGGGAAATCTATCTGATTTTTGTTTTTGTTTGTTTGTTTTGATTTCTGATTGCAGGGAGTATCTTTTTCCCATGGCTGACATTGTAACTCCAAATTTAAAAGAAGCATCTGCTTTACTTGGTGGTGTTCAATTGGAAACAGTCGACGACATGCGTTCTGCTGCAAAATCTATCCATGACATGGGTCCACGGTTAGTGCTTTGCATTTGAGTTTTTATTCTTTTTGAGTTAGGCTTATCAGAAGCTGCCAAACTTTTCCACAATCCCTCCAAAAGTAGGAAAAATTATATTTCGACACCTTGTTGTTTGGCACCAAGTCACTTTAGCGTTGAATTTACTGACATGACACTTATCTAGTCTTTATGAAGGTAACTGACACGTCACCTTTCTCATGGATTCAGTAGAGTCTATTAGTAGAAGTTTGGGCAATGATAAAGATATGAATGCCAATTGTGATTTGTGAGAGGGAGGTTTAAGTGTCATGCTAGGCACTGTGAGAGGCAGGTTTAACTTTGAGTTTGCATAGTCAATGTGTACATATGGGCTTGCTCTTTTATTTCTTAGAGCAGATTTGTTTTACAAAGACTAGACAAGAAGAAGAATTGTAATTCGTAACAGCTTTGTTTTTGTTTTCAGAAATGTACTTGTCAAAGGAGGTGACCTCGCTTCTTCATTGGATGCTGTTGATATTTTCTTTGATGGTATGCTTAATGTATTCATTAGGGTTTTTGATTTGTAACTGTGTGTATCTCTAGGCGGTGTCTTTTGCTAATTTGATTTCTTGATTTGATCTTCTATTATATAGCTTTTAACTTTTTATCTGCTAACTTGTGTTTAGGTCAAGAATTCAAACAGAGCATCGGTTATCAGTTATTCAGGTACTCTTTTCTGGATAATGTTGTTACCTGTATATTTTTTTTATTGTTGTACCTTTTCCACACCAAAAGATTCATGTTCTCTATTTTTCCTTCTAAACCCGTATCAAAGATTCACCTTTTCTCTCTTAAAAATCACAGGTGTTCCTCTGTTTTTGAAAAGATGCTTTGTTTCTATTTTTGTTTTCTTTGACAATCTCTTCCTTCTATTTTGTGAGCATTCTGACTCAATTAACACATCTGCTTTTGCTTCCAATGGGTTCCAGGGTGAGGCCAAGAGTGCCCAGCTGATAGGTCAAGCTATTGCCAATAATCCGGCATTTATTACCCCAAGGAAGATTGAAGCTGCTAGAGAAATTGCACATACAATCTCAAATTCAGCCAACAAGGTTTTCTTGACTTCAGATGAACTGTTGTTGAACCTTCAGGAGACAAACTTGGGGACCTCCACTGGGCAGAAGTAAACACAGCAGGTTAAAAAACCTCAGTCTGTATGCTAATTGAAATATGCCCTAATCTAACCATCATAAGCTGGTAAATAAAAGGGAGAAAGACGTGGGGTTGGAAGACATACATCACACACACGCACACTTATTACAACATTGCCCTCGCGCAGAGGGTCTGAAAGAATAATACAATCCCAAATAATACAATCCAAATAAATAATACAGTCCAAATAATTACAAAAATCCTAATTAATTACCAAATTAACTAAGAAAACAATAAACTGGCATGCAAGCCAGGGACTGCCTTGACTCCACTCCGGATGATGAATGATGCATGCTCGGGTTACTTGGCACGGAAATCCACTGCGATGCCCCAATTAGCCTCTGTTCGCAATTGACACCGGAATGCTGTGCAAGGCTTTTGAAAGCTGCTGATTTTGATTTGCTGCAACAGAGAGCAAGAAAGAGGCATGGCAATGTATTTTCACATATGTATGCATGCCTCGATCCTCGTGCCACCAATCATGCATCTCAATGCATGATGGCCGAGGAGTCGAATTGTGCAACTCAATATAGAATGAATGCACATGAAAACAAAACAAAACCTAGACTCCATCATGGATAATCCAGAGTGTCGGCAACTGGGAATTGAGACACGTTCCGTCACTCGAAGTACGAAACGTCTCTCGTTTCCCATGCTCGGGCTAACTCCTATCCCAAGCACGATGCAATATGCATGATATGCATGAAATGCAACTAAGATACAGCCTAACATACACAAGGCTATGAAATGGCATACACGATGCACGTGGTAACATGGCATACACAATGCGCTAACATACAACCTAGCATACGCAATGCTATGAAATGAAATGGCATACACAATGCATAATGGACTTACACCAACATGAGTGGACCTCAGCCACACTCACATAAGAGGCCATTAGATGAAAATGAGACAACTCGAGATGCGTGCATGCATGCACGCAAACCGAGGACCGACCCTAAGGCACTAAATGCCACTCTAACAAGACATGGCAAGGCATGAAATATGATATGCAAACATGCAAATTTCAGAAGCGAAATATGATGCAAAACAGCCCCGAATCATGGAAACATGGCACCCGATGCATGAAATGGTACCCGAAATGCAAAACTAGGCATACGCAATGCCCTATAGCTATACAAAGCATGCATTATTTGATTATGAAGAATGAAGAAATATTCAAGACAGTCCCAAAACAAGCATATTTCCAGTTTTAAGCAAGGCCAAAAAGTGAACACAAATAGGGCTAAACCAATATGCAAAAATGGCCCTAAATGTGAGATAAAGAAGCAAGTCACAGCTTCTGGCCTCAAACAAAAGAGGGCCCTTCAACAATGTTGAAGAGGAATCCAAAACAAGGCATTTTACAGTTAGTTACCAAGCCCAAAACAGTGCACATGCAAGCCTAAAATACTATGCAAAATAAGGCCTAAAAAGAGGTTTAAACACAAAGTGTAAAAAGGGAGCCTCAAACAACAAAATACCCTTGATCAAACATGAAGTATGGGTCAAAATAAGGCTATTTACAGTTTGGACCAAAGTCCAGAAACACAAACACAAGGGGCTAACAAATCATGCAAAAATGAGGCCAAAAGAGGGATATAAAGGCAAGTGGCAAATGGAAGTCACAAACAGTGATGAGCCCTTCAACAATGTTGAAAAAGGGCTCAAAATAAGATTCTTTACAGTTTGGACTAGAGCTCAAAACAGTTTACATATAGGCCTAAAATAATATGCAAGAAAATGGCATACAAAGGAGGTAATGAAGCAAGTGCAAAAAGGGAGCCTCAAACAGTGAGAGGCCCTTAAACAAACATGAAATATAGCTCAAAAAAATGATATTTTCAGTTAGGGTCGGAGCCCCAACATGCAAGCAAAAAGAGCTAAGATGTGAACCAAGAAAAGGGTCAAAAGGGGAGAAAAGGACTTACCCTTGAAGACTAATCTTTGACAGCGTTTTGGACCAAGAAATTTTGCCTCCTAAGCTCTGAGAAGACCCTCCAAGCTGCTGGAATGGAGTGGTGGTGTGGTGCTAGGTGATGGTGAGGAAATGGTGTAAGAATCAAAGGGTTTTGTAAGGCTTAGAGTAGAGAGAGAGAGAGATTTAATGTGAGAGCTCCAAACCAAAATTTTCTAACCCCTAAAACATAGCTGGGGGGTCTGTCATATAGACACAAGAGGGTGGAAAAGAGGGGGAAAAATGGGGGGGAAATGAAATTCAAATTTCCCCCCAAAATTGGCCTAAAAGGGAGATAAAGGGGCAAGTGATAGTAGGAGATCTCAAACTGAAGAGAGCCCTTCAAAAAAGTTGAAGAGGGGCTCAAAATAAGACACTTTGTAGTTTATGACAAGCCACGAAAATAAATACAAGTAGGCCTAAACTATCATGCAAGAAAAGGCCTAAAAGAGGGGTAAAGAAGCAAGTGGCAGTAGGAGATCTCAAACAGCAAAAGGTCCTTAATCAAACATGAAAAGGACCTCAAAATATGACTATCTCAAGTTCGAGTCGGGGCCCAAAAATGCATAATGAAGGTTCGGGAGCCAAAATACACAGTTCGGGGCCCCGAAAGTGGGCTGTTAGGCACCGGAAGTGGTGTCCGACTACGAAGTTGGTCTCTCGGACCACAATGTCCCTCAAAAGGGAGTAAATAAGATGCATGCCAAAAATTGGAGCAAACGGAGGTGGTTAAGCGGTCCCGAACCGAGGCACACGGCCAACGGCTCCGAAAAACCGGAAACCGGACTCCAAACGGGCAAAACGGCCTACGACCACGAAACGTAGCCCACGGCCACTGAGAGATGATCTACGAGACCTCTCCCTCCCTTCGGGAAGAGAAAACAAAGAAAATAGAGCGTAGTTCGC